CCCCAAAACCCCAAAACCCCAAAACCCCTAAAATTGGTCCTCAGTTGACTTATTAAATTTTGCGAAATGGGGCTAAAATTGTAAGTCTGTTGATCCCTAATACTGTAGCTTAAAGAAGAGGAATTACATAACTTCAACTAAGAATATTGAAGAGATCTGGAAAGCAGAGCAAGCAGAAAAGGAAGACAAGAGGCTTCTGAAAGAGTCAAGGGATGGAATGAATGGAAGTTATGATAGGTTTAAGAGAAAGATTGGAAGAATGGAGTTTAGTTGTTTGAAGGAATGGCTTGAGGATGATTGGATTGAAGAATTTTAGGAGAGCAAACATGAAGAGGAGGAAAATAAGAGGAGTAGATATATCAGACAAGAATGAAAAGAAAAGAAGGATGAAATTTGATAGAAAAATTACCTTAAAAAATCCCTCAAACCTACTGAAATCCCTCCAGCTGCCCCATCAGCTGAGGATTACTCGCTATCTTCAACAAATCCTCTGAAGACAGATTATACTTCTTCAGGAACTCTTCCAGTTCTGAATTTCAAAGCGAGGACTGCTCACTGGGGAGTTCTGACTGGGCTGAGGCAGTAGAGGGAATCATGCAGTCTTCCATAGAGGAATCGGCAGAGTCGTTGACTATTTTGGCGTTAGTGAAGAGCTTTTCGACAATGCTGTCTTTAGGGACGATATCGCACTGGAAGAGAGCCCTAGCTCGAGGGCAGAGATAGACTTTGATGATTTGGAGGCTAGTGTCGTACATTCCGAGTTTTTCGAAGTATTCAATGATTTCTTTCTGGAGTTCTTGGTATGTGTAGATTTCGTCAGTAAGGCAAAAATAGGTAGCGGCTTGGTCGAGTACTTTAAATGTTGCGAGCTTATCTAATATAGGAATATCTTGCTTTTTTGCTTCTGCCTTTCTTGATCTTTTCTTGGTCTTAGAGTTAAGGGAGACATTATCTAGTTGCTCAGAAATTTGGCTCATCTGTCTAAAAGTGTTGTTTTGATCAATTTCTGAGGCTGGAATCTGATTGATCACTTTCTTTTTACGGGTTTCGCATCTTGGCTTTTGGATCTTTTTCTTTCTGCGGGATGTTTTTACATTGGATGATGAAACTTTTTTAATCCTTCTAGAAGTGTTTTTGGACATTGTTTCAACAATATTGTTTGTGTGAGAAAGAAGTTCTTGGGGATTAGCATTTTTTCCAAGCATTCCCTGGATCAATAAGTTTGAAACTTGAGAATATTGATACTTTAAAGAATCTAACTCTTTTTTTAGATCTTTTATTTCTGAATAGCCATTTTCTCTACTGTCACTGTCTGTGCTGGAGGGTGTTAGATTCCTTTTTTTAATTGTCCTTTTAATCTTCTTCATCCTTTCATTTCTTTTTTTAATATTATTTCTCTTCTCCTTTTTCTCCAAAATGGCTTTTGCATTTTCTTCTATTTCGATGGGATCTAATCTCAGTTTATTAAACTCTTTATTCTGAACCAAACTTACTCCATAATTTATATGCCTTTCGCAAAAGATATAGACCACATCATGCATATCAGGATGTTTATGGGACTCCATCAGAGTATCTTCCCTAATAATGCCTTTATTGGAGGCACATCTCACACAAAACTTCTCATTTCACTCTAAGATATCACACTTAATTCAATATCAATCATCAATATTTCAGTACGTACACGTATCTTTCTGCACTTGCATACACTCTTCCTTCGCTAAACTCCCTCCTAACTTCTTCTTACTCCCATAATCCTCAAAATAAATCTCCGAAGTCCAATTAACTCACTGCACATGATACCACCACATCTGCACTTTCACAAGTCACCCCTCACTCTTCCTTCACAACCTACACACACAACACCTAAAATCCCCTCTCTTCTTCCTCCACACAAACTCACACCTCTCACAATTCCATTCTCCTCCTGGAACTCCCTTCCCCAGATCCTTCCCATAACAACTCTGGTGCACGCCTACATTACAAGTATCGCACAGTAGATGGTTTAGGTCTTCATGTTGTTGGTTATAATCATTTTGAAACTGATTGTTTAAATCAATCTGAGGGAAAGCAAATTGTTGTATAGCTCCATTAGCTTCTAGAGCATCTTCATCATCTTGGATTGGTTGGTAGTCCATCTTAGCCTCCATAAAATTACACAGTCTTATAGTCTCATCCAATTATAAAAATCCTTTAAATCCCTCAAAATCATAGCCTGATCCTTCCTTTGATTTGAATCAAGCCAAATTTAGAATATTGGTCATGAGCAAGGTTTTGTACCCGTCAAAGAAAATGTTAAACAACGAGGGTAAATTGGGTGACAAGGGATGAGGCTGGTCAAATAAGAAAGAGTGGTGAGAGAAAGATTTTAGGGGATATTGAGTAGAGAAAAGAGGGTTAACATTTTTTGTTTAGAAGAGAAAATTTTTTAAAAGAGATAGGTATAGAACAGATCCATTCTGGTTTTAATAATCGGGGTTTTGGGGTTTTGGGGTTTTGGGGTTTTGGGG